AGTGACTCTGAAAAAGACTTGAGGCTCATGGCAGATAATCGGCCAAATTTGAGTCCCCAGTGTCAATTAAAAGAGCTAAAGTAATCCTGGATGTATCAATAGGGAATATCAATTGGGAGGTTATATTATCTCTCTATTCAGAACTGGAGACTGCACTGGAATACTGTGTTCCATTCTGGTGTATACAGTTTAAGAAGGATATTAAAAAATTGGAGAAGGTTCAGACAAGAGTCCTGAAAATGACTCAACTGGAAAACATGCCTTATAATGAAAGGCTCAAATAATTGAATTTATTAAACTCATCAGCGGAAACATTAAGAGCTAAATTTGTTCATAGTCTATATTGGCTAATAATAAGGCAAGATTTGTAGAAGCAAATTTAATTTATCATTGAAAAAATTTACCAAGTGTTGTGCTGGATTCTTCACCACTGGAGATTTTTCATTCAAGATTGAATATATTTTTCTAAAAGGTGGTCTCGTTTGACCTCTGCTACAGGACTTTAAAATTGGATTAATTCAAGGAAGTCTTTTATAGCCTGTGTTGTGCATGTTGGATGAGATGGTTTAAATAGTCCCTTTTAACTTTATCATCTAAAAAATATATGTATTGTCATGCAAATATACATCCTACTTGTAAAGTTTCAAGCTATTGCTATTATATAAGACTGAGCAAATTTGTAAAACAGCTATTATAAGATAGTTAGAAGACTCAAAGTATATTGTTTCATATAGTTAGTGTCTAAAAAATATTTTAATTTCTTTATGAACATTTCTTTATGAACTGTCCAAAAATCAATCTCTGTACACTACTTACATTCCAACAAAAATTTCCAGCAGCCTTTGATAGGTTTACAGGAATATTATGTTGCTAAGATTAGAAAAGCAGAAGAACTATATTTAACATGAACAATTTCACCTTATCACCAGAAATTATAGACAAAGGGAATATAGAGAAGAGCAACTAAAATGTTTAGAAGCTGGAGAACTGATATATGAAGAGAGATTAAAAGCTTGCTTACACAGTGACTAAATGAGAAAATGGGAAGAGCACACTTAAGCGTACAAGTGCCCTGAAAGGAAGGGAAAGGAATAACTGATACTACAGGTTGAATCTCTCTCCTCTGGCACTCCCTGATCCGGCAACGTCTGTGGTCCAGTAGGACCACAGATGTAGCTAGATGAGAGAGCCCTGACCGAAGTGGTTGAGAGTGACTGGGTGCCGAGTCAGTCTGGTCGGAAGCAGCCTGCAGGGGCAGTGACCTGGGAGTAGAGAGCCCTGGGAACAGCTGCCACCCAGCTGCCCATGGGGAGCCCTGGGAGCAGCTGCCACCATACGCACTCCGGGAACAGATGCCGCCCCATGAGCAGGCTGGGGGCAGTGAGCAGAACCCCATGACTGGGCTGGGGACATTGAGCCAAACCTCATCAGCAGGCCTGGGGGCAGCAAGCCAAGTGGGATGGGAACAGCAGATCCAGGCAAGTGTGCCAGAGGAGGTCAGGCCTCCGGGTTCTCCTGGGGCAGCAACAGGAGGGGAGACCCAGGAGAGCCCAGATGCCTGACCTTCCCTGGTCTAGGAAATTCCCTTGTTCGGGATAGGAATATAAGCGACTAGTCAACAACCAATAAGCAAAAGCTTATTGGATAGTTGACTAGTCCCTGGACTAGTCGTTCACCCCCTACCACCTCTATCAGGGGCAGCAAGTGGGGAGAGCAGGAGTCAGTGCTGGGGGGAGCTAGCTTAAAAGCCAGTTGCCCCCAGCATTGGCTCTGTGGGGGGCAATGGAGGCAGGGGGGTAATGGGGACTGGGTGCAAGCTGAGAATTGGATGATTCCTGGCTTGTACCCAGTACCAGATGCTGTGCCTCTGCTTTAAAATGTATTAAGAGCCTGCCAACGCAAATCGGAAATCAGCTGGCCTGGCTTGCACTGGGTCACCCCCCTGCACTTCAGCCTTTGAAAGGTATTAAGAGCCTCTCAGTTTTTAATACATTTAAAAATCAGAAGTGCAGCAGAGGGGGACCCAATGTTAGTTGGGAAAGCTGATTCCCAGGTCCCGCCAGGTTCCCCCCGCTGCATACCAGCCTTTTAAATGCAGTAAGTGTCACCAGGCTCTTAATACATTAAAAAGGGCAGAGATGCAGTGGGGTTAGCTCCTGGAGCTAATCCCACTGTGGCTTCCCTGCTTATCAAATAATCGACTACTTGTTGGGAAATCCATCAACTAGTCAATGAGTTGATTAAACTAAATCAGTAAGTGTCACCAGGCTCTTAATACATTAAAAAGGGCAGAGATGCAGTGGGGTTAGCTCCTGGAGCTAATCCCACTGTGGCTTCCCTGCTTATCAAATAATCGACTACTTGTTGGGAAATCCATCAACTAGTCAATGAGTTGATTAAACTAAATTTAACATCCCTAGTTTGGAATCCACTCTGGTTCCAAGGGTGCCAAACCAGGGAGGTTCAACCTATACAAGAAACATACTTTAGGAGAATGAATAATAATGAAATTACAAAAAGGAAAATTTAGAGTGAATATCAGGAAACATATTACTGAGAGTGGCAGTTGTAACAATAGGAGACTGGCATAGCCCTATGAGGGTACGTCTAGACTACATGTCTCCGTCGACGGAGGCATGTAGATTAGCCAGATCGGCAGAGGGAAATGAAGCCGCGATTAAAATAATCGCGGCTTCATTTAAATTTAAATGGCTGCCCCGCTCTGCCGATCAGCTGTTTGTCGGCAGATCGGGGCAGTCTAGACGCGCCGCGCCGACAAAGAAGCCTTTGTTAAGTCCGGTGCGGAGGGTGTCGAATTTTAGCATGAATGCCAGTTCAGAGGATTCCCTTTCAAGTGGTTTCACGAGGCATACCTGTGCCGATCAAGAAAGGCTTATTTGTCGGCGCGTCGCGTCCAGACTGCCCCGATCTACCGACAAACAGCTGATCGGCAGAGCGGGGCAGCCATTTAAATTTAAATGAAGCCGCAATTATTTTAATCGCGGCTTCATTTCCCTCTGCCGATCTGGCTAATCTACATGCCTCCGTCGACGGAGGCATGTAGTCTAGACACACCCTGAGTTAATAGAACAATTAAAAATGCACTGTAAACTACAAGGAACAATCCTACATTAGTAGAGTATAGATAACATTTTTACTCCCACTATTTATTTTGAAAATATTATACTACATTTTAATCTTGTCATCTTAATCTATCTTATTGCTTTGTTTTATTTTTGAGAGCACCTGTAATTTATTTATAACAATACTTTGGTTTAGGTAGAACACACAAAGTGTTAGATGTTGTGTAAACAGGCCTCAGTTGCTCATGGATGTTTCATAGTAGGAGTCTCTGGCATATCCATTCATCAAATCTGAGTGGGTTTAATCATGATAAAATGAGTCAGGCACTCTAAAATACATACAAATTTATAACAGATAAAGAAAAAAGTGCCATTATTCTTGAGCAAAAACATTTACATTAAAAACAGACTTGAGTCACCAATCCATCAAGTTCTCCTTTCACGCATAGGGACCTGCTCAGGCAGCTGCAGCTGCTGCATCCAAATGTATTTTTGCCTTATCTATGAAGTAAAATACTTTTAAAAATAATATAACCTTTGATTTTTGTTGGGTAATTAGAATAGCAATATTAGTGCATTCTGTTTGCAAATCCTCCTTTTTTGTCTACAAAACTAAGTTTGGCAAATGTAATACTCTATGATGAACTCCAGGGCCAAAATGGAACATTTGCTCACTATCTCCCTCAAAACCATTGTGATTAGCAAAAGGAAAATAAAGAAGTGAGCAGGAGTAGTATGATGTTCTGTTCTGATGCTATAATTTATTTTAAGCAGTATCACTTGTCAGTTTTCAAAGAGGGATAAACTATAAACTCCAAAATATTTTTTTCAGTTAATCCAAAAGTCCTGATGTCCTTTCCACTCCTGAAATTACCTGTTAAACCAGTATACTTTTTTTATTTTTGACAGTTTCTCTGAATATTCTAAACAGTCATTGGGAGAGGTTTTCAAAGATATACAAGAAAGTTAAGGTATTCAACTTCCATTAATGCCTGGGAGTGGTCTCCAAATCTCTTCAGGATGTCTGCACTGTGTGGTGATTTAATCTCTTCTGGTGTTTATAACAGCTCAAATACAAACTTCCTGTAGACCAGGTCAGGAGACCCACGTAACTGTTTTTCAAAACCTTAGTCCTTGAATTACATTAAATATCAATGTATTTTTAAATTTCCTTTCTATGTGCCAGGATTGAAGGCAAGTCAGGGATATAGTCAGACTCAGCTGAATTTTAAATCCCTTTCCGCAGTCACATGATTTCCAGGAGTATTGGAAGAACAGGCAGCTGGAAGAAAGACTGCCCTTCAGTCTCTCGGGTGTTTTCCAGTGATGAGATCCTCTCATGCCATGTGTGGATCTGGGAAAGTGCTGCATTTCCTTTATTGTGGTCATTATTGAGGGGAGAAAGAATATTGATACAAGGAGGATGCTCTTTATCCTTTTAAGGAGGAGTCTATGGCTTAGGGTTTAGGTATAGTAGTTATCTTGTATAAGGAATATTTCTGCGCTCAAGCTTAGTGGAAGAAGTACTGGAATTACCAGTTTTCAGTCCTAATGCTCAATGTAACATAAGCATTAAATAATATCAGACAACTTTCTTGAGTTCTGAATCCACTTACAAATATTCTCTGCAGTCTTAAAATATAATCTAGCAATATAGCGTAGTTAGTTCCACAGCATGAGGCACCTTGTATATGCAAATTTATATAATTATGAATGTTTAGATTAGTTTATATGATTGAGTGATCATCCTTAAGTATGCTATATTACAACCTTTCCTGCAAATTAAGCTTATGTGGTGCATCTCCATCAACAAGTAATTTCATATATATTTGTTTGCTGTATTCTTTAACAGGTGCATTATGTTTATGAATAAAATATTTGAGTAGATCATGATTTCCCAAACTCTTTATTTCATAGGTTGGTGAGACCAGATGCAAAAAAGTTTGCACCTCGAAATCTGATCTGAGATCCAATGATTTTAGCATCGTTGGAAGCTTGCCGAGAGATTTTGAATTATCAAATTATGACTGTTATGGAAAGCCCATTGAAGTCAATAGTGGGCTCGGAAAATCTCAAGCAAAGAATAACAAGAAGCCACCTCCTCCTAAGCCTGTCATTCCATCAGCAGCAAAGCGAATTGATCTTTATGCAAGAGCATTATTTCCTTTCTGTTTCTTGTTCTTCAATGTCATATACTGGTCCATATATTTATGATAAATATTTTATATTTTACATAAATGAAAAAAATATTTCTTTATTCCCTTTCCCAATCATGAAAGCCAGTCTGTGAAATTATTTGCATTTGCAAAGCAATATATTGCATTAAAGATGCCATGTGATTGTAGTGAAAATATGGCATCTTAATTTTGAATGAAAGCATGACACTGCAATGTCTGTGCTCAAACTGTTGTATATAAATGTACAGCATACATCCTGCTTTAAGAATATATGAAGGGTAATGCATATCGTTATTAAAGCAAAATAATTATTTTCTGTTATTATTAATATACTGATTTCTGATAATGAAACTGATGTGCATGTTGAGTATAAGATCAGTATTCTAATATATGTAGTATCTAACAGCTTTTATGACAGAGAAAATCTTGTTCTTGTATAATTTTAGATGGCACTGTTAAAGAACAAGCTTCATTGTAATTAATATTATTTAGACTTTGTAAGTAAGTGGAGAAAGTATTGACTAAACTGATCTTGTCTATGTGGAAAAATAAAGATCAGATAATTACTAATTTTGTAAAATTAGCTCATTTAGAAATATTAATTTTGCATCCTTTAAGCAAACCCACAGCAAGATTGTGAGGAAAATATGTTGACAGTAAATATTGCACCAAATTTTGGTTGCCTTCTCCACAGGCACAAGAGAAAACCTGAAGGCAAAGAAAAAATTGGGGCGAGAGGCTCTCTTTCCTATTTCTAGAATAAGCCACTACACCAAATCTATCAACCGTAATAAAAGGACCAATATCTGATTGTGAATAACTCAGAAGCTAAGGCCTATACAAAAAGTCTCCTTGTGCAGAGATCAAAGAGCAGCGTGAAGTGTTTGACCATACCAATCCATTTCTTATGCTGCTGCTTGTTGAAGTCCTCAACATACCAAGAGGGTGACATTGGAGTTCTGATGAGAAGGTGTTCTTTATTTTCTAGACCTTAATTTCCTAATAATTTAATCCCGTAAGGGCTATAATATTACAGTTTAATTTTGGCTGTTGGATTAAGTGTTCAGGTGATAGTGATGGCCTGTGCTATACAAGAAATTGGACTGGATGATTTGGTGGTTCCTCTTGGCCTTAAATTCTTTGACCCAGTAACATGACATCAATTAGGATTACAAAAGTACACTACCTTAATATATATATAATACAAGAGTCAGTATTCTGGTGCCTACTGTTGCATTGTCTTTTGTGAAACTAAGATATAAAGTAAAACTAACAATAAAGTGACATTTTCTACTATCTAAAGAAATCAAAGAAGGTACATGCAATGTTGCACTCTCTAGGAGTTCACAATGAGACTTTGCTTCAGCCCTAATGCAGTAACAGAACTGTGACCTCCGGGAAAATATTTCCTCTTGGAAAACTAGGTTATAGTTGTTAATCAAAATATTAAAATAAGGCATTTCTCACTAACTGAGGGATTTACAAAATTCATATTAACTAGTCCCTCTCAATAGATAGAAATGGTCTGTGAGGAAAAAAAAATCTGATTTTTTCCAGGTGAGTCAGTGCTCAGCTGAAATGCAGTCTTTTAAGGAAAAGTAGTGTATAAAACTTCCACAGAGCTAACCCTCTTGTTCATCTGAGACAGGTTCAGTCAGGATGGACAACAGGAAAAACAACACGACTTCCATGTTGTAACTTGCTATATATCCTTGTTCGCTTAAACTCAAAATGCATCTGAACCAGCAGATCTCCAATCTGCACATATAGGCCAAAAAAATTAACAAGAGTTTAAGTGAGAACTCACAAACAAAAACAAGTGTTAACAAACAACGACCCATCTGTAAAAATAGGTGGAGTACTTTCAGGATGCAAGGTCTATGCCCCCAATTTAGCACAGAAGTGAATTATATGGATATATTCTTTGATTTTCAGCTTTTACATTACTTGCATTGGAATTTGCAGATTATTGCTTCTAGAATCAGAAATTATCATAGAACCATAGAACTAAAAGGGACCTACAGCAGTCATATAGTCCAGTCCCCTGCACTTATGGCAGGACCACATACTATTTAGCCCATCTCTAACAAGTGTGTGTCTAAAATGCTATTAAAATATTCATTGTTGGGGATTCCACAGTCTCCCTATGCAACTTATTCCAATGCTTAATCACGTTGATAGGAAGTTTTACCTATTGTCCAATCGAAACCTCTCTTGCTGCAATTTAAATCCATTGCTTCTTGTCTTATCCACAGAGGATAAGGAGAATAATTTTGCACCCTCCTCCTTGTAACAACCGTGTAAATATTTCTAAATATTCTAGACCTGCTACTATTTCCCCTCTCAAACTTCTCTTTTCCAGATTAAACAAACCCAATTATTTCAGTCTTCCCTCATAGGTCATGTGTTGGTCTTTTCCAATTGGTCCACATCTTTCCTGAAATGTGGCATCCAAAAATGGACATAATACTCCAGATGAGGCCAAATCAATGTGGAATAGAGCAGAGGAATTACTCTTCACATCTTGATTAAAACAATCCTGCTAATGCATCCCAAAAAAACCTGATTTTTGCTGTTGTTGTTGTTGCAACAGTGTTACACTGTTGACTCATATTTAGCTTATAGCTCAGTACATAGGATATGTCTACACTACAGAGAAGATCGAAGCTGTTGCTGTCAATCTTCCAGAGTTTGAATTAGCACCTCTAGTTAAGACAGCTAATTCAAACTGAGAGGGGTTCTCCAGTCAATGCCAGTAACCCTGCTTCCTTGAGGAGTAAGGAAAGTCGAAGGGAGAGTGTTCTCCCTTCAACTTCCTGAAATGTGGACAGCGCCAAAAGTTGAGCTACTTCGACTTCAGGTGCGCAATTAACACAGCTGAAGTTTCATATCTTACTCTGACCTTGTCCCATAGTGTAGACATACCGTCTGATCCCTACATCCCTTTTTGCGGTACTCTTTCCTAGACAGTCATTTCCCATTGTGTATGTGTGTACTGGATTGTTTCTTCCTAAGTGGAGTACTTTGCATTTGTCCTTATGTTTTCTGAAAGATACGTTGTTAGTACTTTTATAATCAAATAACTTGTCTGTAATAAATATCCATATTTTATATGTATAACCTCCATTACAGATTTTATTGTTAAAATAATCTCTGTTCCTTCTTCTTTTCCTACTTGATGGTGTTTGTGTTTACCACAAAACATTTAATCACTAATACACCATAATACTTTTCAAGTCAACTAACATAAGAACAAGCAAAAGGAACATATATATTATGGCAGATGTTTTGTTCTTTCCTAAAAACATAAAAAAATCTTCCTATGGACAGAATAAATGCAGTAGCAACTCCAAAACACCACAAAATTTAGAATAATATCTAGATGAGGTTTAAAATAATAGATACCTTATACTTTGACAAGCAAAGGAATATCAAATGTAGCAATATTTTTATCACAACTCCCTATGGGTACGTCTATACTAGCTCCCTAGTTCAAACTAGGGAGGCTAATGAGGGCGACCAAAATTGCAAATGATATTTAAATCCCATGCTACATTTGCAATTTCTCGCCCTCATTAGCCTCCCTAGTTCGAACTAGGGGGCTAGTGTAGACGTACCCTATATTTTTATCATTCTCTACTTTCTCCAAGTGAATAATAATTGAGATAATAAGGCTTTTAAATTTTATTTTTACCCTACTGTTAGAAGGTCATGAAGAGTTTCAAATGTCATCATATCATGGTCCTTCAGCACCCTCTAGTTGTAAAATTCTGCTTGTAGAATGACATCTACCAGCTTCATTCTGGAATAGGATGCAGAAGTGCAAAACTAATTGCCTGTTTGGGAATACAGATATTAAGTACTGTGATGACATAGAATAAAATAATAGCAGGCTCAATAAAAGCTAAGATTGAGAACTGTAGCTACTAATACAATAGGAGTTGTTAAGGAAAAAATTTGACATTTAAGATAGTCTCATATTGACAGGAAAACATTCAATTCCTCCTGAGAAAACAGCAGATTTATATTTAGATGAAACATGATAGTTCTGAACGACCTACATATTGGAGCAATCTGTTCTGAAGAGAGAAATCTGTGCTAGTTTCAACTTGCAGTTTCCTTTAAGTTCGCCCACCTAGACTCTTTGTCAGCAGAAAAAAAACTGATTTCCATTCTTCTTTAAATCTGAACATATTCATTCCAAGATTCACTTGAGCCTCAGGGAGTTCAAAATAGGAATGGAGTTGCCCTGTGTCTCCTCTGTGCTGTCTGATACAACCATCTCCAAGATGCCCCTACAGTATAGAACCTACTAAGAGAACAGCCAAGTGGATCAAATTTTATATTTGAATATGTTAAGAACTTGTATGTGAGTATATATCTTAAGATCTTAAAATGCATTCCACCAGGTCCAAAACAACACATAACAGTAATTTCCATGGAGATTAGTTTGGCTGTTGCCTGGAGCACTAATCACACATTTATGCATCATTACTCTCTAGAATCGGCATCTAAATCAGATGTCCAATTTTGGAGAGCAGTTCTAAATGGTTATAGGTTCCTTTTATCCTAAAGGGATGTTACTCCTACTTTCTTTTCTACAAGGGGGAATCTATACAAACAGTTCTTGAAAGAAAAAGAAAGACTTACTGATAAATAACCTAACTTTTAGAAAACATTGCCCATATCAAACCACTTCCAAACCAAGATTTTTACTACTGTGTCTTAAGCAGTTTAACTAGGGTTCATCTACACTGCAACACTATTTCAAAATAACTAGCGCTATTCTGAAATAACTTAGACCACATCTACACAGCAGGCAGTTGTTTCAAAATACTGTCAAAATACTGTCAAGCTGGAGGACTTCTTACTCTGACTCCTGTAATGCTCATTGTACGAGGAATAAGGGAAGTCAGAGGAAAAGTGCTCTATTTCAAAATAAGTTCTGTGTACACACTCCCTATTTTGAAATAAGCTATTTCAAAAATAAGACACACAATTGATGTAGCTCAATTTATGTAGCTTATTTTGAGTTAAGCCCTGCAGTGTAGATGCACCCAGAGAGGAAAAGAAAGTGGGTCAGGCTAATCTATCTATGAATATTTCTCAGCTGCCAATACCCACTCCACATTTCATTGTAAATCTTCAGCACATTAGCTTTGCCTTGTTTCTGATTTCATCAGACAATACTATAATCATTGATCATCTTGAATTTATTAACACAAAGTGATGATATCATGTGACAGCCTTGGCGATTACTTTTGGTATGGTAAATAAATCCAAAATTGTCATTTTGGAATCTCTGGGAAACTTAAATGAGTGTCTACAACACAGGCTTGCCTCTGCAGTGAGACACTTTGTGCAAGTGGAATGATGAAGTGAAAACTGTCAGTACAATGTGCTCCCTGGATGTCTTGAAATCATATTGGCTTTTTGCCATATTTGCATTTTGTTATGATTCACTCACAGGTGTGGTGAAAGTGATTTACTTTGGGATACTGTATTACTATGAATAGTGCAAAAATCGAAACTTACACTCACAAGCACACATTTGGCAGGGTTGGAGCTGAGGGCAGCAATAAGACTGTGAATGTGACTGAATAAGGCTTGATCTGGATGTTTAAAGTGTACATGAATAGTAAATAAGATGAAAAGATATTGGCATTTTTAGTGCTCATGTGTGAATGGTACCTATATTTCACCACTGTTAGATACACGTCACTATAGAATTATATGTTGTTTGGAAGAATATCCCCTATAGGCATGATATTTCCTAGCTCTGTCTAGAACCTCAAGATTATTGCTGAAAACAAATTATGACAAACACATTGTTACATTTTCAAAGTCTAATTAGATGTTGACGATTACCCTCTAAATTTAAAATATCCTTCTCGGTGTTTAACAAGTGTTTACAGTAGATGTTTCTTTCTTACTGTCAAAGGGTATGTCTACACTACCACCCTAGTTCGAACTAGGGTGGTTAATGTAGGAAACCAGAGTTGCAAATGAAGCCCGGGATTTGAATTTCCCGGCTTCATTTGCATCTTGCCGGGTGCCGCCATTTTAAAATGTCCGCTAGTTCAGACTCCGTGCCCGCGGCTACATGAACTAGATACTTTGGATTAGGCTTCCTATTCCAAACAACCATTACTCCTCATGGAACGAGGTGTACCAGTAGTTTGGAATAGGAAGCCTAATCCGAACTCCCTAGTTCGTGCCGCGTAGCCGCGGGCACGGAGTCCGAACTAGCGGACATTTAAAAATGGCGCCCGGCAATATGCAAATGAGGCCCAGGAAATTCAAATGCCGGGCTTCATTTGCAACTCCGGTTGCCTACATTAACCACCCTAGCTCGAAGTAGGGTGGTAGTGTAGACATACCCTAAGGCAGGCTTTTTTGGATTAAAATAGTCATTTATTTTATTCTCGAAGACCTGCTTGAATTGGAATTTGGAACTGGTTGGATATTTGGCCATTTCAAAGGTTGCAGAGCAGAGGGATTCTGAGGTCCAGATCCTCAAACAGTATTTATATACCTAAATATTTTTGATGATCCAGAACTAAGTGTCTGTCTCCTCCTAGAGATCTCTTTCAGGATCAGGCCTATATTAGAGAATGGTACATTCAATAAAATATGAATAGGAAAAACATTATCCATTATAATATATTTAAGCAATATATTGTTACTTATCTATTAGTGCTTCACATTTGTTAATTGGCTCTTTATTAGGACCTACTGATTTCCTAAGAAATTATTAAATGAAGGTTGTCTTTAAGCAAACATAAATACAGGGAAAGGTGTCCTTTAATTCAACATAGGTGGGAAATGAGGTTACTATTGTTCCCTCAAACTATGCCAAGCAATCTCTGGTTTCTTTGGGTCTTAAAAGTCTTGGAAGATTTGAGGATGTCACTATTGCTACAGAAAGAATAATTAAAGTCCTCTTCCCCATTTTATTGATAGGGTGCATCTAGACAGCATCCTTCTGTTGGAATAAGCTATGCAATTTGCACTACACAAATTGCATAGCTTATTCCAAGTCTAGGTCAAAAGAGCTTATTTTGAAATTTGGCACTTTGTAGACAGTGCCAAATTTCAAAATAAGGCACTATTCCAACAAATCCCTTACGTTACGTTTCCTGCTATGTCGGGAAATAGTGGGTGCATTTAAAGATGCGGCATTACTATTTTGGGATACCTCTGGTATCCTGAAATAGCACCACAGTCTAGATGTACCCTTACAGAGCAAAACAGAGAAGAAAATAACCATAGGGGCAACAAATAGGGACAGCAGAGAACGGATAGAAATAGAGGGAAGTTGTCAACTTTCTGCTCTCATTGCAAAAAGCCCACAATAGTAAAGCTGTTCTATAGTAATGACCCAAATACCAAGTTGGAATAATATTTACTGCTATAGCAGAATTTTGGACTATTATTGAGGAATGCTGGTGTATAAATCTATTGGGATCTTGGATTCTGCAAAAATTTATCCTAAGAGATTTTAAACAGAAAATACCATCTATTTATCTAAGTTTGGAAGCACTTTATTATCTCATATCTCAACCACATTTTATTGCTTTATTTATCAAATCTCCCATGCTAT